TCTAGGTCATTCATTAGACAAATGTCTATGTAATTCTGAGAGGCAAGGAAGTCAAGACTCTGGCTTTCAAAAGATGGCTTTATACCCTGTCTGACTTATTTGAGGTCATTCTGGATGCCAAGATTCATGGCTGCCCAGGAACTTAACCTTTCCTGAAAATAAGGTCACTTTGGTGTGTTTCACACAGGCTGGTGCCCAGAGCGCCCATCGCTGCCAACATTACTGCAGGCAGCCAGAACACAAACTAGTAGTGGCCCTGGACAGTAGCATCACAGAATCACAGAATGGTTTGGGTTGGAAGGGACCTTAAAGACCATCCAGTTCCAACCCCCCTGCCAGGGGCAGGGACACCCTCCACTAGAGCAGGCTGCGATGGCAATAACAGTAACAGCAGTAGCCCGTGCCAAGCAGTGAATGAATGTAAGGCACTAACCCCGGGGCAGACCCCATGCTGCCAGCTTGCAGTGCCCCCTCCTCACCCCTCCAGGCACCCTGCCCCGCTGGAATCTTTCCACTTGGCTTTTCTAGCACAGGAGCATGATGGGGCAAGTAATCGTGGGGCTGCGGAAGGGGACATGCAGGAACACCCAGGCTTTCAAGCATGGATCAGGTCACTGCCAGAGGCAGCAATATGCCCTTTGGGCTGTGTGGGTGGCCTCCCCCTTCCCCTCCAGGCTGCTTCACAGCCTTTGCAAGGTCCACCTCTGGCGAGATGGGGTTTGTCAGGAGGTCCCTTCAAGTAAGGTGCTGTTTCCACCCCTGTGGCAGGTGGAAAATTTGCAGGAGGAGGAGGAAAATATTCTGAAATCAAGCTATCAACCTGTATCGGGTTTGCATGGCAAGGTTTTGGTAGAGGGGGGCTAGAGCAACTCCAGCCAGCTCCAAGACGGACCCGCTGCTCACCAAGGCTGAGCCCAGCAGTGATGGTGCCAGTGCTTCTGGGGTAACATGTTTAAGAAGGAGAGCAAAAACCTGAGCAACTGCACCCAGACCAAGGAATGAGAATATGTGAGAGGAACAGCTCTGCAGACCCCCAGGTCAGGGGAGGAGGTGCTCCAGGCACCAGAGCAGAGATTCCCCAGCAGCCCATGGTGAGGATGGCTGTGCCCCTGCAGCCCAGGGAGGATCCCACATCAGAGCAGGGGGATGCCCAGAGGAGGCTGTGACCCCGTGGGAAGCCCATGCTGGAGCAGGCTCCTGGCAGGATCTGTGGCCCTGTGGGGGACCCACGCAGGAGCAGTTTGTGAGGAACTGCAGCCTGTGGGAATGATCTACGTTGGAGA